AAAATTATTCGTGAGGTTTGATTGATAAGATTCAACAATTTTCATCCCTTCAGTACAAGTTTCAGTATTTAATATCACAAAACTGATAATTTCTCAAAACGTGCAATAGATAAATTGAAAATCTTTTCACTTGTTCCTAACAAAGCTTATTTTCAGTTATTAACTTCGAAATATTTGACAAAATAATGTCAAATAATCGACTACTCCACTCAACTCTCATAATTGAAACTCGTAAAAAAATTGTAGAAAGACGAGAAAAGAATAATTGACTGGAAGCGTGAATGTTGAGTACATTATAAAAGACGGGGAAAGATGGTCCAAGATGTTCTGATTGATGACTTCGAAGTCAGGAACATTATCGTGAGAACGGGAAGAGGAAAAGGCCTAAAGTGCCGAGATGACAGCATCTCGTTACTTCATATTACCTGAAACGTCGGCTTGTTTGGAGAAGTAATAGGAGGTCTCATTCTAAAATTAAAAGTAATAAAGAAAAAGCTTTCTTTATGTGTTCGATATTCTAGCCCATGGAGACTGCAACTTATACTCGTGGGGGACTTATGATTTATACGATGAAAGTGATACTCCAAAATGAAGGTTCTGCTCAGATTGAGTATCCCATTTACCTTATGGAGATTACTTTATGATCTAATATATAATCAAAAATTAGCGCTTTTAACTGCCTATCGAATGAACATCAAATTCTCCATTAAATGTTGGTTTCAAGAAAATTATAGGAGGTGATTAAACTGGTCTTTATGAATAATATTGAATACTTTCAACAACTAATAGCCAGATGAATAATTTCTTCCATTGCAAAATATAAATCAATAAAGTAAGATGATAAACGGAGAAAAATACTGGGTGACCGGAAATGAGGACGTTTACAAGGTATGCCATCAAGTTCTTCGTCTGAAAAACACCTTTCGAATAAACTTAACGTTAAAAACAATAAATTAAAAATTAACACACCAGACTTTAGTTTCACTGAATATATTGAAAACTCTACATATGTTTCGGGTGGTTAACCCATTATCAAGAGTATACAATAATACTACAATCATACTAATATTCAATGAAACTTGAGTCAAGTGTGTTAATTTTTAATTCATTGTTTTTAAAATAATATTTCACCAAGAGATAAACTTAGAGGTTATGATACTATGCTGTTCGAATGAATTGGGACAAACTTTTTTTTTCTTCGTTTGAGTTACAGTAGTAAGTATGTGAGTACTAGGGTGGCCCAAACACCCTCTCACCTGCTTGTTTACTACCTGAGGTGACGTGAGGGTTCGACCTTGACCATCATTTGCTTTTCTGAACCGGTTTTACCTCGCCAGCCATTCAGTTGTGAGCCTACCGGTGCGACAGTTGGTGGTTTCAATTTTGATACGTGCTGTTTGTCTTGTCTTGTCCAAAGATTGATATCACTCCGAGGAAGCGTTTCAAACTTATCGCGCTTAAGGAACACACATCAACGACTGTAGGAGATGAAACTGAGGCTGTTGGTGTGGAAAAGTCCAGCGTTCCGAGAATTTTAAAAACATTTGAAGAAAGTGGCTCATCGTCTCCAAAAAGAAAAGGAAACTGTGGCCGCAAACGCAAAACTACTCCAAGAACAGACAAATTGTTGATGAGAAAAAGCAAAATTAATCCGAGAAAGACAGACACTGATCTTCGAAGGGATTTAATGGTTTCTGGTGTGGAGGTGCGCACCTCAACTGTGCGAAAACGACTGCAGGAGGTTGGCCGTAAGGCAAGAAGACGAAGAAGAAATCAACTGCTTACCCAGAAAATAATGAGGACAGGTTTGGCATGGGCCAAAAAGTACCGTGCGTGGACTGTGGATGACTGAAAGAAATAGGTTTTTAGTGATGAGACACATTTAATTGTTCAAGGGTACAAATCAACTGTTGTTCGCTGATCACATCCAGCAAACTGTAAAACATCCTTCGAAACAAATGTTTTGGGGTTTTTTCACAACCTATGACACTTGACGATTAGCTCTTATAACAGGGATGATGAATTCTGTGAAATATATGGAAATATTGGTCATCTCAATCCATTCATGAAATATTTTAAAGAAACGACTGGCAAAAATTGATTGCACTACAAAAGAAAAAATGATTATAAGTGCAATTCAAATGTGGTTTCATGATGACGAATTGAAGAAAATCTGCACTACGCTAGTGGAATCGATGCCTAGACAAGTTCAAGAAGTTATTTCTACGAAAGGAGGACATACTTCATATAAATATAAAGAATTTACGATATTTTGTATGCATTTACTTCATTAAAAGGCAAGATTTTACGAAAACATTGTTTTTATCCTTTATCCCAATCAATTCGAACAGCATAGTAATATTCTCAATTTTTCTAAAAGCGCGAAACACATGCTATAGTTCATCATATTCAGCCACAGTGTTGTAGTATTAAACTGAAGGTCCTCGCTGGAAACTACGGAAAGAATATTGAAAATATTCTCAATACACCCCAAAATAAAATTTACATTAGAAGAAAAACTTGTCAACTCAATTAATTTCCTAGACCTAACAATTAAAAAATCAGATAATAAACATTCGTTTTCTATTTATCACAAACCATCACATACGGATACAGTAATTCATAATAGTACGGTTCACCACATAGTACAAAAAAGTCATCATTCAATAGTATAGTTCATAGACTTGTTAACCTGCCGCTTTTGAAGAGTGATTTTGACAAAGAAAAACGTTTAATTATGCAAATAGCCTCAAACAATGAATACAAACCAGAAATAATAAACAATTTAATGAACAAAAAACTTTTCGAAAGAGCGGTTTCAGAAGTTTTTCCTCTTATTAAAAAAAAGTCAATATTTAGTGTTTTAACATATATGGGGATACCAAGTTTCAAATTGAAATTACTTCTAGCAAGCTATAAGATTGATATTCTTTTTCGGAGTACTAATAATATTGGTAACATAATCAAAAATGATAAATCAAAATTAATAAAAATCAAATGGATATACAAAATCAAATATGATAGTTGTGAAAAATTTTATATAGGAAGATCTTTCAGAAATTTCCAAATTATATTATCGGAACATAAACGTAGTTTTGAGAAACAGAAAACAGATTTCCATTATGATAACCATTTATTAGAGGAGAGTCATATATTCAGTTCAGAGTTTAAAATACTGAATAGAGAGAATAAAGGTTCCAAGCTAAATCTTCTGGAATCGTTACATATTAATAAATTCAAAAATTCGGGACTTTCTCTCAATAGTCAGTTAGAGGTTAACACTAGCTCTACTTAATATGTTCAATAAGAATATTCCAGGTAGCATATCAGACTGATTACCTAGTTTTTAGTTGATTTACTTTCAATTTTATATTTTTCATGTTCAAAAATTTAAACTTTTCTCAAATTGTTTTTATAAATCTTAGTTGTTTATTATTTGTATCTTTTCCAATATTTTGTTGGTATACCTGACTTAAGAAATTGATTTTCTGTGTTCATTTCCAGGTATACGATTCTTTTCTGTTAAATATCAGTTGTATTCTATGGTCCTCCTTCCAAGTTACTCACAGAACATATCTGGTATGTTCTGTGAAAATAGCTATAAGTAGTAAGTTTGGAAAATTACACCTAGTACTTATTAATTCAGCATTTGAAAAAATTTCATTATGGATATCAATTTTCTGAAGTAAAGGCCTCATCAATCATCAATATTGAAAAAATAATTTGTAATTTTATATTCTTGAATCTGTTGTATAAATCCCTGATATATAAAAATAACTTTATATATTCGTATATGTAATTGCCTGATGAATAAATATTACTCATATTTTCACTGCACCAACATCGTACATCTCTGTTTTAGAGAGCGTTTTCTCTCAACCAAGAATTCGACTTTTGCCTCAGTACTTAATACCGCAAAAAAATCATTTTCATTTATATATATATATATATATATATATATATATATATATATATATATATATATATATCTTTCATGCAAAAACTGTACCTATTGAAATGGAGAAAATCGATCGTTTTCTAGAAACTGTAAATGCTTCAAATTATATATCTGTCGAGATATCATATCAATCATGTCTCAATTTCTGTGGCTTCATGTTTATACAAACTATTGTCAGTGATATATTGTTTCGATTCAGTTTTGTAGGATCCATTAAATTTGATGGAATAGGTATAGAAATGTAAATATGAATAAAGTTACGGTGTTTTCATTTATAATTGAAGTTTCGTTTTTGAATCGACAAGCAAACAAACAGAAATTGCATTTTTATTATTTTACTTGATGGTTAGTTCCACAATTCATGATATGATTGAATACTGATTTCAATAAAAATTGGCTATATTTATTTCATTCCATTGCAAATGTATCGATAGGTAAGATACACGTAACGAAGAAAGTTGGAACATTGAAAAAAGAAGTGTTTTTCCCATGTTTTTCATAACAAAATTTCAATAGCTGTGATTGAATTTTCGGTACACGAACATTTTCGTGCAATTTTAGCAGAAACCTTACATTTACAAGAGATTCTGACGTATCTACGCAGATGAACGTCTTCTATGATATTATCAATTGATTTCTCGCTCAATACTTGGTAGAACATGTGGTAGAAACAATATATCAATCATTAGTATGAAAAACACATAGCTGACTTCTATAAAATTGCTCAAAGACTGTCCAGTGAACTAGATTGCCACTTCAGTCATATTTTATGATTTTCTGACAATAAGCATTTGTGAAGTTCAAGTCTTCCGTTATTCAACATGATAAATTATCACAGAGTAAAGGGGTAAAGACGGAGTCCATAAATTGTTTGAGGTGAAAATACTTTGTCATCAAACTAATGAGGGAACACAGAAATGGATTATACTAAGATTTAATTTCGAAATTGGATAATTACTCACAACGCGTCATTTATTTACAACGGATCAAGTGAATCCTTTCATCATTTTTATAATAAACGTAATCAAATTAATACAAGCCGGTCTTCGTGGTTTAATCGGAAGAACACCAGAATTGTGCGGTAGACCTCGGGTTCGAACCCCGGTGAAAGGCATGGGTGTATGTGTTTGTGCATTATTTGAAGTAGTTTAATGATGATATATGCTGGGTAATGTACATTGATACAAGCCCAATTGCCGTTCGAAACCGATGTCAAACTGTAAGTCCACTCAATTTAAAAAAATTAATACAAATAATCTATGTTTTTCCATGGTTGATTAGGTCATATGTGAAAAATTGGAACTGATTGAAAGCATACAAGCAGTTATTTCAAGGCAGAGTCGGCAGACACTTGAATCGATGAACCTATGTATTTTGCTGCGGATTCAGCGAAAACATTCACAAAAATAAAACTCACACTTTCATGATTTCTAGCTGACCTGGCCAACGTTGTTTTGCCATATAAATTATTATAATTATATATATATATATATATATATATATATATATATATATATATATATATATATATATATATATATATATATATACTTATTATATAAGACTTATATAATATATATAAGTCGCTTTCTCTGTAAATCTGTAATATCTTCGAAAATATTCATTTAAATCATATGCTGTTAAGGGCCATATAAATCTATATAAAATCTACAATGTATTTAAGGTATTTAATTGGATAAGGATTAATGTTGTATTGGTTAAATTCGTAATGTTAAATTCGCTTCGAAAATTAGCCATTATTTGTAAAAAGTAAATGAGAAAAAAATTTTATTGTGGTATATCCATAAGAGATTGGCATATACCATAGCGGAGTTCTCTGTAGACCTTTTCAATGTGTATAATACTTAGTACATTATTTTGATAAATCTCGTAGGGTTCAGCCTTCGTTTGCAATGTTAGCGAAAAAATGTAATTATTTACGACATCACATTAGAAACCTCAAAAATAACATTATTTGTCCACTATTTCATGGATGCTCTTATACATATAAACCTTCCTCTTCAATCACTGTATCTACTAAAGAACACCACATCAAAATCCTTTGCGTAGTTTTAAAGATTTAAGCATACATGGGGATATAGGGACAGAGAAAGCAACTTTGTTTTATACTATGTAGTGAAGTATTGCTATTCCTCGCTGGAGAGCTGCCGCAAACGCTACGCCCCGCAATTTTTAAATCTGTAATACCTTCGAAAATATTCACTTAAATCATACGGTGTAAAGGGCCATATATATCTTTATTAAATGAACAATGTATTCAAGGTATTAAATTGGTTAAGGATTAATGCTGTATGGGTTAAAACCGCTTCGAAAATTAGCCATTATTTGTCGCAAAAAGTAAATGACAAAAAAAAGTTATTGTGGGTTATCCATAAGAGATAGACATATACCATCACGGACTTTTCTGTAGACCTTTTCAATGTGTACAATACTTAGTACATTATTTTGATAAAACTCGTAGGGTTCAGCCTGCGTTTGCAATGTAAGCGGAAAAAATGTAATTATTTACGACATCACATTAGAAACCTCAAAAATAACAGTACTTCTCCACTATTTAGTGGATGTTATTATACATATAAACCTTCCTCTTGAATCACTCTATCTATTAAAAAAAACCGCATCAAAATCCGTTGCGTAGTTTCAAAGATTAAAGCGTACAAAGGGACAAAGGGACAGAAAAAGCGACTTTGCTTTATACTATGTAGTGATACATATACTAACAGAAATCACTTTTCGATCATTTCGATATTTTCTAAGGCATTCTATATGTTGCCAATACCGAATGAAATGAAATCATTGAGATCATTATAATCATAAATTGAATTGAGCTGAAGGCTATTTCATTCATTAATGTAATTTAATATAATAAAGTTATACGTTTATCGGGTTAGTTATATCGTTTACAAATTGAATATAAAATTAAATTCAAACACTTAAACTTATGATTTGCACTTTATTCACTACATAGCATGACGCGTTTCGTCGTCACTAACGACTTCTTCAGATGCTTACGAAACTCGTCAAGCTATGTAGTGAATAAAGTGTAAATCATAAATTCAAGTGTTTGAATTTAAGTTTATATTTAATTATAATGGGTTTACATCAAGTGAACGCCAACACTATTAAATATTTAAAAATCGTTCATAAATATGAACGGATGGACCGATCTTTATGATTTTTCGTATAACAAATTAGAAAACAAATAACAATAATTGTCGAATCGATATTTTCTGTATATTTCAATAAGAATATTTTTTTCATGTTATTTCAATGTTTTTTCACGTCAGCTCAATATCAGTTTGATATTTTGCGTTTCATGATTTTTATTTGTTAGGTTCGTCATCGATGAAATGAATGCATGAAAATCATTAAAATCGTCCAGCTCAGATATGAATGGTGTAATTTATGAGACTTTATATATATATATATATATATATATATATATATATATATATATATATATATATATATATATATATATATCTTGAAATTGATTTGAAAATTAAGAGTGAAGATACAAAAAAACTAATTTGATTTTTCTAAAAAATGAGTTTGACATTTGATATCTATAGTAACTCATAAATTCAATTATTCATTAGTTTTGACAAAGTTGTAATATAAAAACGAAACGTCAACAAAAATAAACTTTTTCATATCAAAAAAAGCCTGTTATTGCTAAAAACTTTCGAAATAATATATATATATATATATATATATATATATATATATATAATATATATATATATATATATATATATATATATATATATATATATATATATATATATATATATATAAACAGTATTTGTTGTAGGTATCGGTATAGCTCTTACTTTGAAGCAGCCGCTGACAAATCTTTCGAGCTTGTTGTTTCTCATTAGAACCTCATAGCCAAAAAACCCAAAAAAATTCAAGAGAAGTTTCTAATCAACATATCTGGATTGGAAGACTCGATCATTATTTTGCAAATTAGGCAATTTTTTTCCTTCACGGAATTTATAACCAATAATTTTCACACGATACTTAAAAGTTTAACGTAAAAGAAATTATAAAAACGAAAGAAGTAGATAATGTAGCGATTTACTGTAGCTAATGAGCTAATATAGCTCGCACTTGGAAGTAATCGTTAACATGTGTTTCGAGCTTGTTAGCTCCCATCACAACGGCTTAGTCAAGTTTCATATCTACGAAATTGAACACGAAAAAAAGCACGAAGATTCTCGAAAACGAGGCTACCATTTGTGGCTTCTGTCATACTCAGTCCATACTGAGACCTTTAATATCGAAATATCTCAAACAAAACTCTCAGGAAGTTGTCAACACAAAAGTTGTCAACGAGAACGAACTTTCGAGAGTGAATATTGAGTGCGTTTCGAAAAATCATCGAACTTGTTGAATGAGGCTACCAAACATCTATTTCATCCTTATCAGGAATCAAAAATAGATGTTTATTCAAACTATCAAGAATCGATAACTTCCAGACTCCCCAAGGTCCTCTATTCAGAATGAGAAGAATATCAGTTCGTCAACTGAACACCTGAACTACGTCTATCCAAGAAAAACCGTATAAACTTCATTCAGCAAATTTTATTCCTCCTCATATTGACTAAGTGTGAATGTTTCGTGAATTTGGAAAATATGGTGTTTGAATGAAACGTATACAAAGCCTCTACGTACTTCCAGTGAGGTTGTCACGAGGAAAAAATCTTGAATGCTTGAAAAAGTTTATCCTTTTTTTTCGATAGAGGGTGCTCACATGTTCATTTCACGAACTCATATTCTCCTCATTTTGAAGATGGGACCTGGAGGCGTTTGAATATCATCGATTCTTGATTGGTTCGATCGTATGGTATTTTCATTCAATACGTTCGAAGATTTTTCGAAACGCCCTTAATATTCACTGTCGAAAGTGAAAGGTTCGTTCTCGTTGAAAAATTTGTGTATACAGCTCCCTGTGAGTTTTAGTTGGAATATTTCGACATTTATTGTCTCAGTATTGACTACACATGCATATATTATTATTATTACGATTGTTCCCCATGAGGAGAGCAACTGAACTTGAATTAGACATTATTTGGACTTTTGCATCATCTTTTTTGTTTCGCAAAAACGCTTCATCCTCTCTGAATGCTATTTCTTCCGTTCATCTGTCCACTTTACTCCAGGTTGAGGATTTGACTTTTGCTCAAACTTCACATGTACGATTTTATAGCGACATTCAGTGCGATCTTCGAGATTTTTATATTGATCTGTTGTAGATCCTTTTGGACGTCTTTTAGCCACTCTGTTCCGTATTTACTATTCATAATTATATCGAGTAGTTTCTTCGGGATTCTGTACTGTTTCATTCTGTAGACATGTGAATAAAATTTTGCTCGTCGTTTTCTGATTTCTTCCGTTATCGTATTTGTCTTTTGATACAGTTCATTCTGAAGTCTTTTCATCCAAATGCGGTTTCTATTGATTGGGCCGTGAATCTTTCTGAGAATTTTTCGTTCTTGTTTTTCTATTTCTCTAATTCTTGAATGACCGTCAATAACCATTTTTTCAGATGCGTAGATTGCTTCTGGAAGAATCTTTGTGTTATAATGCCTCAATTTGGGGCATCTCGAAATGCTCTCTTTGTTATAGTGAGCCCATGTTAGTTTGTAGGCCCTTTGGAGCTTGGTAATTCTCTGTTCATTAGCGATTCGGTTTAAACCTGAGGACTGTACAACTTCCCCGAGATATTTAAAATGACCGACTTGCAGAATTACACCATGTTTTGTGATCAGAGAGGATTTATTTTTTGGTTTTCTTTCCATGTATTTGGTTTTATCATAAGAAATCTGTAACCCGGTTTTCTGCGCAATTTCATGTAGTCTTTCTACGGCGAGAATGGCTTCAGTTCTGTTGTCTGTGATGATAGCAATATCCAATATCGTCCGCAAAGGCGAGACATTTGACATTTATTCTATTTTCTTTTTTGATACCCGCTTGTATGCCCTTCACGTGAAGTTCCCATTCCCTAATGATCTTTTCTAAAACAATATTAAAAAGGATTGACGAAAGTCCGTCCCCCTGCCGCACACAGGTTTTGATTTCGAAGAGATC